GAAGCCAGCTCCTGCACGTGACACCCCCGCACCCGCCCCTCATCCACTCCGTGAGTGGTGTCCGTGCGCACACCAACGACGGTGTCGACGTGTGTTGTTGTGTGTGTGTGTGTGTGTGTGTGTGTATATATATGTAAAAATCGAAAGCTTCTTATGGGGTAGAGCACCTGTAAGCGAATGAAGAGGAGGCGTATGGAGAGGATGTTGCGGAGGTCGAATGTGGAGGCCGCCTCTTCGGGGTCGAGGGCAAAGCTACCGAACTTGCCCATCAACCGGTCCTTCATCGACTTCTACAGAGTAGTGGAGCAAGGGAGGGAGGAGAAGGTGTAAGTGCGACGCCACACACACACACACACACACCACACACCACACACACACGACATGCCCGGATTGCGGGAGGGGAAGACAGTGGGGGTGGGTGGGTGGGTGGGTGACGTACGTGAGTGACGGCGCCCAGGTGTTCGTCCCAGTCCTCGTCGTTCCACGTGTTACCGCGAGCACTGTCGTCGTCCTCGGCATCGTTGTGGTCGTCGTGGTAGTCAGCCTCTTCCTCGCCGTCCTTTTCCTTGCCGTCGGCAGACTGCGGCGTCGTGTCCTGGACGAAGCTGCCGCGCATGCCCAGCGGAGTGTTCCTCTGCACCAGCGCGGGCGGGTGAGCACCAAGGGGATTTGGGGCAAGAATGCGCATCGCCTGCGGAGCCCTCCCTACCCATATCTCTCAAAATATCTACAATTATATATATATATATATACATCTACATATATTCCATATATACATATATACAAATAAATATCGACATAGATACATACGGGGTGGGCGGGCGGGCGGGTCAATAGAAAAAGGGAGGAGGAGGGGTACCCGCTCTCGCCGAAGTCGGGCGTCTCGGCGGGGATCGGGAACAGAAGGAGAAGCCGTGTTGGGCGGCGGCGTAGCGGGGAAGGCGGCGGCGGTGGCGGCGGCGAAGGGAGGAGGGCTGTAGGCGGTACGCGTCCAAAAGAGGTTGGAGGCGAGCTCGCACTTGGGCGAGCACGTCCCGATGATGAGGTTGAACAGCTTGATGGCGGCCTGGTGATAGGGCTCCTCCGACAGCACCTCCACCTTCTTCACTTTGTTGCTGGCAGACGCGTCGTGTAAGAAGTGATTTGGGTGGTGGTGGTGGTGGTGGGGGGTAGCACGCGCGTGAGTGTACCGGGCACCGAGGGGGAGGGAGAGAGAAGAGGAAAGAGGAAAAAAGAAGGAAGGCAGAGAGGCGGAGGGGGATGTGGAGGGATATGGGATATTGGGGGGGGGAGGGATACCGCATCTGTTCGTGGAAGATGTCCTTCACCACGCGGGTGGTCATCTCGGTGAGGAGGAGAGAGTCCAAAAAGCGGAAATTCTTCTCCCACTTTTTGTTGAGGATGAGGCCCGAGGCATTCTCTCGCCCGGCGTACACCAGCCGGTGCAGCTCGCGCCTCACGCGACCAAAATAGCGCAGGTTGATACCCCAGCTATGCATGTCCTTGCACAGCTTCCTGCACGCACCGCCCGCACACGTACGGCCCCACTACTTAGTATATCCCCCACGCAGGTATAAAAGCTACCCCCCCCCGTTGCAGCACAGCAGCAGCAGGAGGAGGAGGAGGAGCACCGTAGGACTTGATGGCGCTTCTCAACCTCCTCGCGGATGGAGCCCGACCCGCGGAAGAACATTTCGTCGTCGCTGTCTTCCAACAAGGCCAGCAGCTCCTGTTGCACCGGACCCCGGGGGGGAGGGGCAGGGGCGTGAGTAGCTCAACACTTGGAGGGCAGTCCAAGGACACGCGTGTGGGTGGAGGAGGTGTGCCTTGCGAACAAATGCCGGAATGATGGCGTAGACGAGGCGCCTGCTCATCGCTGACACCTCTTCATTGTACTGACTTGCTGTCGTGCGTGCGTGCGTGCGTGCGTGGCAGCGCGGGTGGGCGTGTCCGAAACACATCAGAGATATGTGGGAGTGTGCAGGCAACGAGGCTCGTACTGTGGGACACAGAGGGAGGGAGGGAACTTGGGGGGGAGGGAGCAGGGGCGCAGAACCACGCGCATGGGTGGGGGGGCAGTACCATTGGGAGAGAAGCGCGGATGGTTGAAAGCGGAGAAGGCGTCGGAGCAGAGCGGGATCGAGGAACGACGCACGAGCTCGGGTCGGAGAAGCTGGAAGAAGGGAGCCCGGCTGTGGTAGTTGTGCCTTTCCTCGAGGACAAAGTCGGGCGGAAAGATGCGGGCCATGTCCAAGACGTAGATGCGCCCATCCTGCGCGCGCTCGACCAAATGCTCACGCACGCGAGCATGTCACCCGTGAGAGAGTGTGCGTGTGCGTACGGCGTCGCGTGGCGGTGGTGGCGGTGGTGACGGCTGTGTGTGGTGTGTGTGTGTGTGTGTGTGTGTGTTGTGTGTGTGTGTGTGTGTGTGTGTGTGTGTGGCCATGTTGTGTGTGGTGCGGCACGCGCCAACAGACGTGCGACACAGGCATGGCATGAAGACCGCGGAAGGAAGAAGCGGGGGAGGGGGAGGGGCGTACCTTGCCGCGGTGCACCTCGAGGTCCACGGGACCCCAGACCAGCTGCTCTCGCACCACTCGCTCGTTGAGGTTGAGCCGGGTGATGGCTTGCCGGATGGCATCCATGGCATCGGCGTCGTCGTTCCTGATGGTCTGCAGAGGGGAGCGCAGACCAAAAAGGGGGCATGAGGACGAGGAGGAGGAGGATGCGGCGATCGCGATGCCCATGAGCAAGCCGCGGCAGGCTCCCTGGTGGTGGCTGGTGGTGGCTGGTGGTGGCTGGTGGTGGCTGGTGGTGGTGGCTGGTGGTGGTGGCTGGTGGTGGCTGGTGGTGGTGGCTGGTGGTGGTGGTGGTGGTGGCTGGTGGTGGTGGTCGGTGGTGGTGGTGGTCGTGGTGGTGGGGAAGGGGGAGGAGGGCGGCGCGCGCACTTTGCCCTGGTCGGCAGAGCCGTAGACGAGGGTGTTTTCCTCCTTGCTGATGGGCAGGATGGAGATCGCGGTAAGCCGGAACCCGCGGTAGTCCACCTTGACAGTATAAATAATAAATAAATAAACATGTGCGTGTTGTCAGTCTCAGGGGACAGCGACAGAAAGGGCGCGTGCGCAGTCAGAGGGTGGGGGTGGGGGTGGGGGTGAAAGGAGAAGGAGAGAAGGAGGGGGAGTCGAGCGAGTACGAGTGTCATGAGAGGGAGGCAGAGGTTGCTCGGGCGAACAGAAAGGAGAGAGATGGCGCTCTTGAGCTCGTGAGCCGCCACCTTGATGGCGTTGTGGTCCTCGGGCCGGTCATCACCGTACATCCACTTGCCCGGGCCTGTGGGACGGCGGGTGGCGCGGCGATGAGATGAGATGAGAGGACGATTCATTTGCGCAATGGTGCGGGATGGTGGATAGATCGATCGATCGGTGATGAGCAGGCGTGGAGCGGGAGAGGAGGCGCACGTTGCGGGCGAGGCGTATCGAGGGCGAACTTGAAGAGGATATTTTGTACGATGTACTTCAGTCCTCCTGCCACGCCGCCCAGCCGCTTGTCGGGCTTGATGGTCTTACGGTCGTGGGGCAGGTTCAACTCGGATACTGGTGGGTGGGTGGGTGGGCAATGAAAAGGGGAATGTCAGCGATGGCGCCCGACAGCCGGAGAGGTTGCACGATGGCCGATCAGGGCACTCACACATGGCCACACAAACTTGGCCAATTCGTGGGCGGGGGATGCACCAACCAATGATCTGGGCATAGGTCTTGGCCGCGAGCTGGAAGTCGTTGGCGATATGGCTCAGCCGTGAAAACTTTTGGATGGAGTCCTCCATGCACAGGGCCTCCTGCACACGCGAGGTACCACCCCCGCCCGCACGTCCGCCCACTCTTGTGTTAGTACGTGGGGGGGGGGTTGCGTTTTATCTTGCTCTCTAGAGAGCAATAGTACGAGTAGTAGTAGTAGTAAGTTGTTATCACCGTATTGCGGCATAATATGCAGTGAGCAGTAAGTAGGCCACAACTCGAATACGAATAAAAGTCACAGCAGGGCGAGGGGCACCTGGAAGTGGTGGTTCCAATAGAGCTCTCGCCCAACGTCGAGCTTGCGGGAGCGACTCGTCACAGCCGCTCCCAGCTGCTGTTGCCTTCGCGCGCCTCCAGAGGCACAGCCAGAGGAGGCCCCGGTTGCATCTTCCTCGTCCTTGGGCAACACAACTTCGTAGCTGCCGGCGTCTTCTTCTTCTTCTTGTGCCCCTACTCCTTGAGCTTTCTCACCTATGGAAAGCGTTTCCTCTCGGCCTCCGTCCGCGAGGCAGTTGTGATGACACTTTCCCTGGGCAATGGTCTCTCCAGATTCGACCACCTCGTATAGATTGGATCCCTCTTCTTCCTCCTCCATGGCGCAGTCTTCCGCGCAGCCCTCTTCTTGGATTAAAGAAATGGGAAGGGGAGGTCAAATCAAAACCAGGGGAAAAGAGGAAGTGAAAACCAGGGAAAAGAACCAAAAGCAAATAGAACTGGCGCCCTGGCAACCGTACGCGGATGCATCAGGTAGCGGGTAGTGAGCAGGTGCACCTCTCTCGGCGCGAGCGTGCGGCGATTGTGTTGCAAAAGCAGTTTCGCGTGGTCCAAGCTCGACGTGTGCTGAAAAGCAAAGCGCTGAACCTGGCTTGGGATCTAATCGAGTACTATGATGGTACGTCTCCCCAGGGGAGGGCTTGATTGGCTCGAAAAATGGGGCAGTCAACTGCTTGCAGGACCCTTTAGGCACCTACTCACCTTTGGGCCACACGCAACCAGAGAGGAGGAGCGCAAAAGAAGGCGACCGAATCGACGCCCTGCGCCAGCTCCTGACTGTGGAGCTAGCGAAGCAGCAGCATGACTCTGGACACGTGGGTGACCGCCAGCAGGACACCCGACCAAGTGTGGTGCCACACGAGAGCACCCACCCCGAGGGAGCCTTCCTCGACGACACGGAACACCAGGGCCGCCATCATCGTCCTGCCAGTGATGCCGCCAAACAACGGCATCACCAGCACCATCACCACCGTGGGGTTCACTATGGGCATGCTGTCCCCCTTCTTCACTTTGGCTTCTGACTAGTTTTCTACGACGGTATTAACATCGACCTTGTGTGACAACAGGGATCAGCAGAAGGCGGAGCAGCCCGCTAGGACGAAGGAAAAGGAGGCCAAGAGACTGAACTACGTCGAACTGCCGCTTCCAGACCGCCTCACACTTCACACAGTCGAGACAATGCTGCAGCATTTCAAGGAGGTGCGCTTCAACTGAAACAGTTTCTCTCTCTCTCTCTCTTGGCCATGACCGCTTCCCTCACAGCCCCCTATTACATAATGCACTTCCACCCGTTGTCACCTCTCCAGGGCAAGCTGCTCGGCCCCTCGTGTGCCCATGAGATTGTCAGGTACGGCACAGCAGGCAAGCTTGCCCGGATGACTTGCCGGCCTGGCAGCTCACTGGCAGCGCAGGCGGTTTCGTCACCTCATGGAGACAGAGTTCAAGGCGCCACTTGAAGACGTCACCATACCTCAGGCCGGATCCCTCACGGCACGTCCTCGGGCGGTGGGCGTCGCCGCGCACATTTTTGTCTCAAATGAGGGACCATGTTTGTATCTTGTGCAGGTCGTGGGCGATGTGCATGGCCAGCTGGCGGATGTCCTCACCATTTTCCGGCTTAATGGTATTCCAGACCGATCCCTACCTAGTGGGACAACGCGCGAAGAAGCTGATGCGCTTCGGCATGCAGGCATGCCGTCGGAGAGCAGGCGGTACATTTTCAACGGCGATTTTGTGGATCGCGGCTCTCACGGTGTGGAAGTCGCGTTGTTGCTCTTTGCCCTCAAGCTCGTCGACAAGCACTCCCTTTATCTCAATCGGGGGAACCACGAATGCCGCAGGATGAACGAACGGTACTCCTTTGAGGTATAAAGATGTGCTGCGCGTGCGTGCGTGCGTGCGTCGTGTGAGGTGCTATGCTGTTACTGAGCCAGGACTGCTCGACCCTCTCTAAACTGACGTCACTTCAGGACGAGGTGCGACGCAAGTATGGCCCGAAATTGTACGAGGCCATGCAGTTGGCCTTCTGCCTATTGCCTTTGGCGACTGTTGTCGAGCACAGGATCTTCATTACGCACGGCGGGCTCTTTCGCGAACACGGAGTAACACTGGACCAGCTAAAGCAGTACGTGCTTAGGCGCCTCCTCTCCCACGTGAGAACCAATCATGATTTCTACAAACAGGCTAACTGTCACAACCCCCATTCTTTCTCGGGCAGGATCGATCACGTACAGCAGCCGCCCCGGCACTCGCAGGACCTGCTTGAACAATGTTTTGAAGATATGCTCTGGAGCGACCCTCGCTCCATTCAAGGTTAACTCCCTCGATCCTCGCGTGCGGCTACAACGACCTCACGCGTTTTTCCCTCCTTCCCCCCCCCTTCTTCATGGCAGGAACGGTGGAAAGCACGCGCGGAGCCGGCGTGCACTTTGGCGCGGATGTCACAAAGGACTTCTTGCGGAGGAACGGCCTCACGATGCTGATTCGCTCTCATGAAGTCAAGGACAAAGGTTTGCGGCCAACTTTCTGCCACATCTTTTCTCGTTCTCACTCCTTCTCTCGGGGTTGCAGGTTACGAGGTGGCCCACGACTACTCACTAATTACAGTGTTCTCGGCCTCGCGCTATTGTGGCAAGAGGAACAACTTCGGAGCCTTTGTGGTGTTTGCCGACAAGAGTAGCCTTACCCCTCAGTTCCATCGCTTCATGGCCGACGACCTTGATCTCTTGACTGCCGGTACGCATTGGAGAAGAGGGGGGGTTTGATCTGCTCCTACTTATCATGTGTGTCGTGCGTCGTGTGTCGTGTGTCGTATGTGTTCCCTGTGTGGTCATGTAAGCGCAGTCTTTAATGTGCACGAGCTGAGGCACGAGACCCTGCAACAGCTATGGGAATGCGTGCACAAGAAGAGGGACAAACTGCGCAAGGGGTTCCAAGAATTGGCTATCGACGAAGCGGGAGCGAAGCGTACACCAGTACGGCGGTCCAGCCAAACGATCGGGTCAAGCGATGACGAGTCGAGCGATGGTAGCGATGCGATGGAGACGCGCAAGCCAAGCAGAAATCAGCGACAGGGACGAGTAAGCAGGCTTGGGTGGAGCAAGGTGATGTGTCGCGTCATGGGAATCAGGTCTATGCCGTGGCTGCTGCTTCAGCCCTACATGGTGCACCTCGGCTCGGATGGCAAGATCGACTACCATCGCTTCTTGGCCCGCTACGAGATCAAGCTCAACAGCCAGTTCGTGGAAACCTGGGACGAAATTCTCCTCGACGAGTTCTGTCGAAGAATCTACTGCAAGACCAAAGAGCTCGTCACCGTCTTCTCGTACTCTCCCCACCCTCCGCCAAACACACAGCTTCTGCACGCTCATTACTGCACCGCGCGGCTTTCTTCTTCTCCCCGTGTCCAGGGAGTTGGACATGAATGACAACGGCCAGCTTGATCTGTCGGTACCCCCTCCTCACCTGGCAGTTTTATCCCCCCCTCCCCAATATGTCTCCCCTTTGCATGATCGCGTCTCTATGTGTGGTGTGCACATTGCAGGAGTTCGTTGTGGCCATGGAGCGTTGTGGGATGGGCCTAAGCGCAGCACAGACAACAGATTTGTTCCATGCCCTGGATACCAACAATACCGACTCCATCTCTTTCCAGGTGCGCGCTGCTCAACTTCACTCAACGCCCACTGAAAGAAGAAGTCTGACCACTGATATCCCCTCTTGGCGTTGTATTTTTTATATAGAACTTTGTCGATCGGTTCCATATTACCTACTCAAACCTGCAAAGAATGGATGAAGAGGCCGATGCATGGTGCGCCATCTCCAACTCTCCCCGCCGCCGCCACCACCACCACCAACATTGCTCGTACTTGGAGGAGCTCACCCAGCCCTGTGTCAGGTACTGGGCGACACTGGGTGAGATTGGTGGTCTCCTCCTGCAGGACAACAACAGCCTGGCCACAATATTCACTGAGTTTGATCGAGATCGCAGCGGCCGTCTGTCGTACAAGGGTAACGCACAGCACCACCAGAGGCACGTCCTCTATAGCGATAGTTAACTCTTCCAGTGCAGAATTTAGCTTGGCGCTGCGTAAGCTTGAGCTTCGGACAAGGCTGAAAAAGTCAGAGCGCTATGCACTAGCTCAATTTCTGGACTTTGACAAAGATGGAACAATTGACTATGAGGTACGTGGCTCCAAAACTAACACAGCATACCCAATTTTATTTCTTCTTATTTTTGTCTTGCAGGAGTTTGTGCGTGGCTTCAAGGTTGTCGACAAGACTGGCGACAAGGACTGGCAAAGAAGAATCCTACAGCGCATGGCATCTGCCCTCTTCCACAACCGCCAGTCCCTACAGTCAGCCTTCCGTCTACTGGATCAAAATAACTCAGGCACCTTGGAGGTATGCTGTGGCTCTCCTTTTCCATCTGCTTGGCCACCTTGAAGTCTCACCATGTGTGAATAGGTTGATGAGTTGAAGGCTGGGCTCCATGCACTGCAGGTTGTAGACCAGCATGTTTCTGATCTTCAGCTATCTACTTTGTTTGCAGCCCTTGACACTAACCATGATGGTCATGTGGACTACAAGGGTGAGTGTCAAACCAACCTACTGACACTCAACACAGGTGGCTAACATGCTTCTTCTTTCCAGAATTCATGGAGGCTTTCCAGATGGTGGATACTGCACCACTAGATACACCATCAAGGGCAATGTGACATGTCAATGGCCAACATTGTGGAAAGTCAGTTCCCTTTTTGTTAGACATCACTAAAAAGGGACTATCTGCTATTTAGCACTATTTTGGTACTATTTTGGCATTATTTTGGCAGCATTTAGGCAGCATTTTGGCATCTGTTTGGGACCATTTTGGCAGCATTTTGGGGACCATTTTGGCATCTGTTGGGCAGCATTTTGGCAACTGTTTGGGACCATTTTGGCAGCATTTTGGCATCTGTTTGGGACCATTTTGGCATCAATTTGAGACCATTTTGGGGACTGTTTTGTTACTCTTCTGGACCATTTTGGGATCTTTTTGGACTGTTTTTGGCATCAATATGGCATCATTTTGGGACCATTTTGGGGACTGTTTTGGTACTTCTGGGAGCATTTGACACTATTTGGGACCATTTTGGATCAATTTGGCTGTTGTGGCATCAATTTGGTGAGTATATTGCATTGTTGGAGTTGCAATTATTGGCGAATGAAGCCTACAGGAAGGCTTAATACCTGGTCAGAACAAGCACCAGGACTTGCCAAGCCCTATGGAGGCCATGCTGCAGGGCCAAGAAGGAGATGGATGTGGTTCCATGGCGACCAGAAGCTCATTGCACTTGACACGCCCGCGATTATCTTAGCCTCCTCACAATGGTGCGTTGCATGCAAAAGCAATAGGAACGTTGTGCGCTCTGGGAGAAGAGTCTTGTCCGCGGATGTTGTGAGCCTTCTAGCCCACATTCTCTTGTCTACATCAAGGCAAGCGAAGCAACAGTGCGCTCCGCAGCGTAGCACTGCTGGCGTGTGGGATTTCAACATGATGACGAGGTCCTAGAGGCCCAATTAGCCATCTTGGCCAGCATCATATCCCATCATGAAACCTGTTGGAGGGTCAGCGGCCCCCCAACCTACACCACCAAAAGTCGTCTGGGCACTGTTGGTCGAGTGGTCATTTCCCAAAAATGCCCCTGTTTTCTTGAGTCTTTCGCACCACCTCGAGGTCCACAGCTTTCAATGCAAGCGAGAAAGCTGGTGCGCAATGATCTGCGACGAACTGTTTGCCCCTTATTCATTGGGTCAACTTGTAGCACATGCGGTTTGAAAGCTCCACGGACGCTATGTTGTGTGTAATGATTCCACGCGTTTGATTGCAAAGCGAAGAGCGCAGTGTAGCCCCCTGAGCCGTACGCCATCTGGTAGGAGGTGGTCTAATTGGTCTGGAAACTGATCGGCAGGAAGCTATCTATCAAGGGGACGCAACGAAAACGAGTAACACTCGTTAAACGCGTTTAACTAGTTTAAAGCGTTTAATCAGTGTTGCCACAGGTGGTTTGTGGTCATTTTACTCGTTTTTTAGGCGTTTTTTTACTCCTTTAACTCGTTATTTACTCGTTTTACTCGTTATTTACACATTTTTTACTCGTTCCACGCGGGTTTTACTCGTTCCACGCGGTTTTTACTCGTTTCACACGTTCTCTACTCGTTTCACGCGTTCTCTACTCGTTTCACACATTCTCCACTCGTTTCACGAGTGGCCCACACGTTCGACGAGTGGGCAGGTCGTTAAACGAGTTTAATCAGTGTTTTACTAGTTAAACTAGTTAAACGCGTTTAACGAGTGTTACGCGTTTTCGATGCATCCCCCAAGGCAAGCAAGAAAACAGCTGCGCTTGGTGGGGTCAATCCACGCGTTGAGTTGTGAAGCGAAAGGAGAGAGGGGATGCAACCGAAACGAGTAAAACTAATTGCACGCGTAACACGTGTAAAACTAGTAGCTCACGCAAAGAACTAGTTTTACTCGTTTTCGTTGCATCCCCTCAGTCAAAGAACGAACACACATGAAATCCGTTGAATGGATGGCGGAAAACTCACCAGCCTTCAAAGCTCCCACGGTAGGAGTGGCACCATCGCTTTGTCAGGCGATGCGCCTCTGTGGGAACGCAGTGTGACAAGCCAGTGTGGATCTCACGCGTTTGGTCGTCCTTGTAAGTAGTAAAACGAGTAAGGAGATGGCTTGTTTTCGCGGACATCGCGATCTCCCGCGGACATCGCGACCTCCCGCGGACATCGCGATTATCCGCGGACATCGCGGCCGGCGACTCATCCCCTAAAACTAGTTTTACTCGGTTTCGTTGCATCCCCTGGGTCCCACGCCATCTTGAAGCCCGTCGTCTATTTGGTCGGGCAATACAACGGCAGGCAGATAGCTATCAAGGCAAGCGAAATATCTTGTACGCTTGGCGTTGTGATGCAGTGCCAAGCTGAAACAGTGAACAAAATTGATTTCGTCCGTACGGCCCAATGAGCCATCCTAGAGGGCTGAGTCCTATCCCATCTTGAAGCCCATGCTCTGCCGCGCATTTTGAACGAAACGAGAGGTCAAGAGCTTACAGAGCAAGCGAGAAAGCGAGTGATTTGCTTATATGGTGACTGCAGTCGGTTCTGTTGCCGCCAAAAATGTCAAGTCAAAACTCCGCCCGCCAATTTTAGTGTTAATTTTTTCATTCCTGGCCCAGGGACGCTGTGTGCAACTAAGGTCCTCTGGATTTATTTAGCCACAAACTTTTTGAACTGGGCCGGGAACTGCGGGAGGCTGTGGTCTGGAGCAGAATCGTCTTGAAGCCAAGGGTGCTGGAGCGCCTGGTCGGCCGTGAAACGCTTGCCCGGGTCCACCAGCAGGCAATGTTCTATGAGATCCTTGGCTGCACGAACACCCAACGGTCAAGTAAGTGCACATGGAGGAAGGCCGCAAAGTGTCCATACCTTCGGCAGAGATATCGGTCCAGTAAGGATCGGCGAACTGCGGAGGTGTTGTTAGCGCGAGGCCACGCACGAGTGAAGAGGATCTTTCAAGCAGAGTACCTCAAAGTCACCTGCCATTATTTGCTCAAAGAGAGCCGCCATATTCTCTCCGTCGTCTAACAATCGAAAGTGTGAGCAGAGAGTTCGGTAAGGCACCTGTCTCCGGAATACTCCACAGAAAAAAGAATAGCAACACAAAGGAGAGTACCAAAGAACGGAGGGTAACCGCACAGCAAAATGTACATCACCACCCCTGTTTTCGTGGGCCAAGAAGAGTGAGCAGCGGCAGCGCCTATGGCCAAAGAGAGGATCGGTACCGATGCTCCAAATGTCGACTTCCTTGTCGTAACCCTCGCCTTTAAGGACTGCGATGGAAACAGGTGAGGTTATTGATGGGCAGGTGCCACCAACAACGTTTAGGAATTCATTGCTGCTTACCTTCAGGTGCCACGTAGATCGGAGTGCTGGGCGCAAGGAGGGCGAGAAAACGTTATTGGGCTGGAGTGAGGCGGGCAAGTGGTATGCTGGGCGTACCCGCATGCCGTTTGCATCATTGAGTCGGGGCTGAGGATCTTGGATAGGCCGAAATCTGGTGTATCAACAACAACAACAAAAACAACAAACAACAACGTCAGAACGAGCAAGCAACGCATATATCCAAACCAGCGCGTGCCGGGTCACGTGTACCAGCAATTTTGATTTCGTCTACTCCAGGCGCTGCCAGCTACGACGGCGAGCGTCGAGCGAGCAGACGCAAAACAAGACATGTGAGCTCACTCGTACCAAGTGCAGTGCATACGGGTGGTGCGGTGGTGCGGTGGTGCGGTGGTGCGGTGGTGCGGTGGTGCGGTGGTGCGGTGGTGCGGTGGTGCGGTGGTGCGGTGGTGCGGTGGTGCGGTGGTGCGGTGGTGCGGTGGTGCGGTGGTGCGGTGGTGCGGTGGTGCGGTGGTGCGGTGGTGCGGTGGTGCGGTGGTGCGGTGGTGCGGTGGTGCGGTGGTGCGGTACAAGGAGGTTGTTCGGCTTCAGGTCTCTGTGCGCTATGTGCTGGTCGTGGAGGTGCTTGACTGCTGACACCATCTGCTTGACAAGCCTATCCATTAAAAATAGAATGGAACGAAGTAAGTGGGTCGCTCTGAAGGAACACACGAGACCTCGTCGCCGCGCATCAAAGAAGAAGGCGAAGGGAAGGAAGAGCGGTGGTACCTCTTGGCAATATTCTCGGAGTAGGAGCCTATCTCGACGATCTTGTTGAAGAGCTCCCCTCCCGTTACGAGCTCCATGACGAGGTACAGTTTCTTGGGGTCTTCGTCGTAGACCTCCTTCAGGCTGATGATGTTGGGGTGCTTCACCTTCTTAAGGATTTCGACTTCCATTCGCAGCCGCGTTTCATCCACTTCCTTCTTGTCGATCACCTTCACTGCATACTGTAGCAAACCCATCAGTAATGCCAGCAGCATGCTGCAGATTGTACAAGGTGGTGCATTTCGTGGGCGCTGACAGACCTTTTCGTTTGTCTCTTTACAGATTGCCAGTACGACCTGCGCATAGAGTACGCATTAGGATCGTTTTGTGCCTGAATTGGTTTTGCTCAAGCAAAGCATTTATGGATTCGCACCTTGGAAAAGTTGCCTCTGTACACGCCTCCCACATCTCAGGTCAGCACTGGCAAAAGATAAATGATAACAAGGCATCCACGAAGATGGTCGCGTACGTGCCCAAAGTGTCCTTGAGATCGTAGTCATCCTCGATGCGATGCCCCATCTGTGGCGCAGTATTTATTTTAAAAATTAGAAAAAAGCCCCCCCTCTTCCCGCACGATTTTTCTGCACTGTGTCGCTACTTCGAAGAACAAACGGAAAAAAAACCACCGCGAGAGGGAAACATCATCATCATCATCATCATTCAATAGAGCATCACCAACTATGAGCGTCACCAACAAAGCGCGCCGCACGATCCCCAAGCTCTCCAAGGAGCTCTCTTCTGCTATAACCGCAGGTGGTGTACCGCGTCCTGCCACGGCACTGGTCCCAGCAAGCCGGTCCCAGGATGCGTCGTCGCAGCAGGCGCTGCTCCATACATCCAGCTCCTCCTCTAACGAGAGCACAACCGATCTTCCAACCCTTAGGCCCGAACAGCTTGCTGCAGTTGTGCGTGAGTTCGTGCCTCCTGCCCTTTTTGCCCCCCCCCCCAAGTTTCTATTCACCCTTTTCCCTCTACGAATCCTAATGCTGACCTCACCACGATCGTAATGACTGGTGCGCTTTCTCGCTGGGGGTTCGATGTGGGTAGGGCTGGCTTTGCGCCGCAAGTGCAGGCCACCCTCGCGGCAATATGCGCTTATGTACCTCTGCAGGAGGCCTTGCGGGAGGCCATACAAGCCAACCGCGAGCGGGACAGCCTGAGTCTGGCTGAAGGCGTCATGTCAAGCATTGCCAAGGGCGCCCTCCCTCAGGACTCCGCCGAGGACTGCCGCAGTTGGGCGGGAGGCCCGTCGCATACGGACGAAGATCGGGACGGCTGCCACACGGAGAAAGGAAAGGAACGGGAGGGCCGCCCTTCGTCCCTACGCGAGGAAGTCGAGTCGGCCTGCTCGGCCACCAGCCTCCGCGACTACGACCACTATAAGCTCAAGACTCACTCATTCAACGAATACCGCTCCGGTACGAGCTCCAGCTGTGGAAGCATGGCGCTCTGGTGCAAACATGTCTAATTGTTCGCGCTGTGGTGTGTGTTGCTGTGTGTCCTCAGAGCAAGACATCGCCAGTTTGCTGCAGGTGGAAGAAGAGCTTAACGGCAGCGGCCATGCTGATGACTGGCGCGAGACGTCGATCGGTGCCCGGTCCGACGTTCGGTCTCGTGAAGATATTCACGATGGAGGAAGAGGCCACGCAGGCGAGCCTGGTGCCGTGGATGACGAGTCATGGATGTTCAGCGCTGGTACGTATGCGATCCGTTGGGTGGTGGTTGGTGGTGTTCGCTGAGGTCTTCCTTCTTCTTCTTCTCTTCTCCTTCTTCTCTTCTTGTCGTCCAGTCCTCTTTTTGGCAGTAACTGTGGTCTCGCTTGGTTTCCTGTATGTCGGCAACAAGGAGGTCTATCGCACTGCCCTTCAAAGCGAGATGGTCAAGGTACGCGCGCACCAAACTGCCCCACCAGCATCGTGACATGATGATGACGACGATGATGATCTTTCCTCGTGCAGGCTGCAGTTGCGCTCAGTCAAGTGTGGGCAGCCAGCGGAGAGTTTGGCGCTACCGCACAGTGAGCCCGTCGGAACCACCACCACTGCTTGTTTTGTACATACGCGGCGTACCTTCTTTCCCGCGGGAAGAAACGAAAGAAAAGGGAAAGGGAAAGGGAAAAAGTGCCATTACAAAAAGGGAATCAATGCAAGCGGAAGAGGGTTGCCGACCCCTCGATGAGGGCGACCTTGGCCTTCCCGTACGAGATCTGGGTCTTCACATAAGCAGGGTAAAGCAGCGCACGCAGCATGGCGATGGTTTTGACCTCGAATTCAACGTATGTTGCTCTCTCTCCAATTTGAAATCGACCTCAACGCCAGGCCGAAGGCCTGACCCAACCCCTCGGTCTTTCAACCCTGCAGTATGTGGAGAAGAAAAGTGAGTCAGATTCCTTTTTTGGAGACTATGACAGCGCCATCAAGCCTATCAATCGTGGAAAAAACCGCTACTCCAACGTCCTTCCTCGTGCGTAGCCCCTCCCCTCCTCCGAGCCGCCGGCCGTCATCCTTCCAACTGACAGACCGCGTCTACTGCTCCAGTTGAGAAGACACGAGTCAAGCTTAGACCAAAAAATCATGCCGAAGGCTCCGACTACATCAATGCGAACTGGGTAGACGTGCGTAATGGCCACCCTCGATTGCGATGTGCCCCTCCTCTTGGATTCCTCAATTTGGCAAAAACCACAGGGATTGATTCCCGGCAGCGAGCGGGCATACATCACTACCCAGGGGCCACTGCAAGAAACGGTGGAGGACTTTTGGAGGATGATTAGCGAGACGGGCTCCAATGTAATTGTAATGCTTACCAAAGAGGTGGAAAATGACAAGGTAAGTCTCTGGCTGCTCGGCTGTGTGTGTGTGTGCCACATGCGCTTTGACCCAGCCTGTGTTGCCTCTCATGGCACCTCACCACGCCGCGCCGCGCCAGATAAAATGTACACACTACTGGCCACTGGAGCCCGGGAACGCTTTCACGTTCGACACCCTGCGGGTGACTCTGGTGAGCGAGGAAAAGACGTTCGAGAACCGACTCGTGGAGCGAACATTGGAGCTGCACCACCCCGACACCGTACCCCTCTCTTGCCCCCCCCCCAACCAGAAACGCGTGCGTGCCGAGTGTTACCAACTCCTCCCCTGTTGAGAACAGGGCGACCGAAGAGAGATCAAGCATTACCAGTACCTGGACTGGCCCGATCACGGCCTCCCAGAAAGTGCCGCCGCCTTCCGCAAGATCCTACACAAGGTAGCGCTGCGCCTTGCGCTCCGAACCCCTCCCCCCCGTTGGCCGCTCCCGCGCCTCACCTCTCCGCCGTCTCTCCCAGGTGGACAGAGTGCGCGCGGAACAATCTCCAATCGTAGTCCATTGCAGGTACTACGACCCCACCCTTCTGGTAGAGAGAGCGAGAGAGCGCGATCCCATAACCCCATGGCGCGGTGGTGGTGCTCTTCTTGTTCTTCGTGGTGACGCTGAACCCTCCCTCTGCTACCCCCCCCCGTGGCGGTGGTGCGCCGTGCCACGTAGTGCGGGCATTGGGCGCACGGGCACTTTTTGCACAGTGCACAGTACCCTGGAGAAGCTGCACTTACACCTCAAGGAAAAGCCCGACGAGCCCCCGGAGTTCAACGTGCTGCAGACGGTGCTGCGGATGAGGGAACAGCGCGTGGGCATGGTCCAGACGAAGGTGCGCCGCCCCTTCCCCCCCTGGCGCGGGCACGCCCAGCTGAGCGTGGGTGTGCAGGAGCAATACATCTTTTGCTACAAGGCTCTCCTCGAGGAAACGCAGAAGCTGGGCCTGACGTCGGTGACGGCAGATCATCTTGTGTGAGAGTGAGAGCTCCTTCGCGCCGCAAAGGCTGCAAAGGTTGTCCCCAGCAGCAACAACAATCATTTTTTCGGTTCCGTTGGTCCTCCGCGTGGAGGGAAAAAAAAATAGCCTCGAGGAATTGGCGGGGGGGGGGCGAAATGAGTGCGGTTGGTCTAATTAGAGACAGCAGGCCCACCCCCGCGAGGTGCACTTTTCTGAGCCACGCCGCCACGCGCCCAAGACCCGCCACATTTTACACAACAGCACAACTCGACCCAAACATCTCCACGAGCCGGAGCGCGGGTTCGACGAGTTGAGGAGAAGGAGAGAGAGAGAGAGAATAACAGAAACATGAGCTTCAGCTACTTCGAGGCCCTCCCGGCCGATGTGAAGGCACAACTCAGCTTCTCCGAGGTGGAGGACCTCATCCGGGTGTTCCAGCACTTTGACAAGGCCAGAGAGGGCGCTTTGAACAAGGGCACCGCCCCCAACGACTTTGCGCGCGAGGTGGCGAACAAGCTGGGCGAGAGATTCGGCAACGCCAACGGCTTTCTCGATGCGCTTCTGGCCCACACCGCCCCTACGCTCCCCTTTGCCGACTTGGCCAAGGTCCCCACGGCCCTCCCACTCCTAAGTCCCCGTCTTTACGGCGCGGCCCCGACAATCCCCCCCCCCCCGGTTGTAGTCTAACCCCTCCAAATGCCGCGGGCTGGACACAGGTGTTCGCGAGCGAGCACAAGCGACCCAAAAAGATCACGAGGGAGGTGTCTGCCGGCGGTGCCATCCATTCTTTCAGCGATGAAGAAAGGCAGGGCTATGTAGAATTTATTAATTCCACCCTCAAGGACGATCCCGACCTCCAAACGACGCTGCCCATCAATCCGCGCAACCAGGACATCTTCGCGGCGGTCTCCAAGGGCATCATTCTCTGGTGCGCGCCCACTCCAGCGCGAGGCATTTGGCGCGGGTGTGTGAAATGGGCGCGCGCGAAAGGGCAGCATTCTAAAGTGGTATGGGGGGCGTGCGTTGGGCTGGCTGGCGGTCGTGCGTGTGCGTTGCATATGCGCGTGCATGCGTAACAGTAAATTAATCAATTCGGGATTCCCGAACACCATCAACGAGGCCAAGCTCAACCTGAGGGCGGCCAACCCCTACGAAAAGAACGAGAACCACGACTTGTGCATCCAGGCGGCTGCCAAGCTCGGCTGCAGTGTGGTCAACATCGGCGGCAAGGACCTCCTCGAGGGAACGCCTCACCTCGCGCTGGGCCTCATGTGGCAAATCATCAAGAAGAACCTCCTGGCCCTCGTCGCCGCCAACCTCTCCAAGGGCGAGGGCTTCATCGACATCCCTCCCGAGCAGATGCTCTTCCGCTGGTTCAACTTCCACCTCGCCAACGCCGACTCCCCGCGCACCCTCTCCAACTGGTCCCGCGACCTCCAGGTCCGTCGTGTGTGTGTGTGTGTGTGTGTGTGGCGTGTGGACGGACCGGCCGCCCGCCCCTCACTTACCCTCCCAATTCGTGTGACGTGACGTGATGTGGCGGCGGCGGCCCGACGACGCAGGACTCGGAGCTGTACTTGACGCTGCTGTCGCAGCTGGAGCCCGAGAAGTGCCCGAAGCACGAGGTCCAAGCTGCGCTCGCCCTCTCCGATCCACTCAAGCGCGCCGAAGTGGTCTGCCAGGTGCGTAGCACTACACCTCCTCCTCGCCGCCGCCGCCTGCACTGCGCGCGCGCGATCGATCGGCCGTGCGTGTGGCGCGCGTCTCTCCCGTGGGACTGTGGGGCACTCAATCATTCTTTCCTCCTCCTTTCTCCTCCTCCTTCTCCTCGCGGGCCGGCTTGTGTGTTGTGTGTGTGTGGGGTGTGGTGGCGTAGTTTGCGGAGCGGATCGGGTGTCTCAAGTTCATCACGCCCAAGGAGATCGTGAACGGGAACCCGCGCCTCAACCTGGCCTTCGTGGCCACGCTCTTCACGCAGTACCCGCAGATGGGTCCCACGGAGGAGGAGAAGCAGATCTGTAAGCTGCAGGAGCGCCTGGGGAGCGTGGAGCAGAGCCTCGCGCAGGTGTCCGGCGAAAAATCGGACCTCGCCGAGCGGGCCGACCGGCTGGCCCGCGATTTCGAGGCCAAGTCCAAGGAGGCCAGCGAGCTCAGCGGCCGACTGGCCGAGGCCCTCCAGGACCGCGACTCCCTCGCCCGCCAGCGCGAGCAGCTCGAGGCCTCCCTCGCCTCCGAGCGCTCCGAAAAGGACCGCCTCGCCCTCGAGGTCGAGACCCTCTCCCGCGACAAGCACGAACTCTCCTCGCGCCTCGCCGATGAGACCGCCCATCGGTTCGTCGTCGCCCACCCGCCCACCCACACCGCCGCCGTGGCCCGCCCCGCCCCTCCCCCCCATGGTGTGTGTTCTCACACGTGCATGCTGCGTGATCGTGCGGTGCGTGACTCCCTCCAGTGAGAAGCTCGCTCGTGACCTGGAGAACGCGCGGGCGGACCTGCGGGAGGCGCAGGAGCGACACGAGCAGCAGATCGCGCAGCTGTCACAGCAGCTGGCCGAACAGCAGAAGCTGCGCCAAGAAACGGAAGCCCAGCTGCGTGCCACGCGCGACGAGCTGGCCGCCACCATCCAGAAGGCCGAGCAGGTGCAGAAGGAGCTCCAGGCGCAACTGGCCGCCGAAAGACGACGGATCGAGGAGCTCGAGGAGGAGATCCGGCGGCTCAAGGCCGAAAACGCGGAGCTCCGCCGCCAGCTCGAGGAGGAGCGCGAGGCTCGCCAGTCGGCCGAACAGGAACTCGACGAGACCCGCGCCGAGCTCGAAGAAACCAGGTACGCCACCCCCACCCCCACCCCAAGCTCACGACGCACCACCTCTCAGCAGCAGCAGCAGCAGCAGCACGTTTATTCTGTTCTGTTCTATTATTATTATTATTATTATTATTATTATTATTTGCTCGTGGTCAGCCCATGTGTGTTGTGTGCCCCCATTCACACACATGTCATCCTCCCGGCTCACTCACCGACCAATTGGCGCAGGGCTGAGGCCGATGAGGAGAAGACGCTCCTGCTGCAGCGCATCAAGGACCTCGAGGAGGAGCTCGACCAGCTCAAGGAACTTATGGCCACCTCGCTCACCCAGGCCGGCCGAGAGAAGGCCGACGGTACTTGCCCACCTCCCCTTCGCCTCCCGCCCGCCCGCCCGCCACTCCCTCGCGATCGGGATGCCGGTGGCGCACGTCGAGGCTTACAAACACACGCTCCTGACTCCTTCACTCGTTGCGCCGTCTCTCTCTCTCTCTCTGTGTGTGTGTGTGTGTGTGTTGTGTTGTGTTGTGTGTGCGTGTCGTGTGTGGCGTGTCGTGTCGTGTGTGCAGCGCTACGAAGGGCGCAGGAGGAGAAGGAGAGGATGCTAGACGAGGCCGAAAGGGCCAGGATAGCGCAGATGCGTAAGGTGCAGGGCATGCTGGCCAAGGTGCAGAAGAAGGGCTACCTCTACAAGCTGGAGAAATCCGCCGTGCTGGGCACCAGCAAGTGGAAGAAGAGGTACAGCCGCGCATCCCGTTCGCTCGCTCGCTCGCATGGCTCGTCTCTCTCCCCGCGCGCGTGTGGCCTTTGGCGGTGGGTGGTGGGCGTGGGCGTGGGCGTGGGCGTGGGCGATCGATGAGCTGAGTCGAAGGGGCGTGTGGGTGTGCGGCGTCGCAGGTACTTCGTGCTGCAGGACAACTTCCTCTCCTACTACAAGGACGAGAAGGCCTTCACGGAATCGCGACCCGACGGCATCGTCTATTGCGAGCAATGCCGCATCTACGAACTCGACCAGGTGCCCGCCCCTCCCTCCCTCCCTCCCCTCCCCTCCCCTCCCTCCCTCC